CATGGAATCGTCTTGCCGTTGGCGATTGTAGATTCTGGGATAGAGCCACTCCGTGCACACACCGTACACGTGCTGTATGACATGGTACGTGAAGTCTACATCCCTGAAGCCCGAAGTGACCCGCATCATGATGTGTTTAGATTGCAGCCTGCACCGGTCCTCGTGCGACGACACAGTCAGGACCGACCCCGCTGGAATTCTGAGGACTGTGGCGACTCCAGAGACCAGTTGCCAGGCTTGCAAAGCAGCACAGAGACTGTTCACACCGGACAATGACAACCACTGCGATTTCGATATACTCGTAAGTCCCGTGATCTGCTCAATCACGGAGGTAGGGAACATGACCGTAAAAGGTAATGAAGACAATGAGTATGACAAGGAAGACAAAGAAGAAGAAGATGGAGAAGACAATCGTGCCGATGGTGCACCGTCACGCGAATGGTCCTGCAGCGCCTCGACAGCAAGGAACTAGCTGCAGTGAGAGATGCGTGTTCTATTTTCGGGACAACAGCATCACCAAACCTTCTGAGTCTGAATCTGGGGGTTATCACGTGCCATTCACCACTAATGCCTGAGCCCGGCTGCGACGAGACCTGCAGCAGCAACGATCACAATTGGGAGCCAAGTGCTACCAACAGTGTCAATGCATTTCAACAGCGAGAGAATGGGCAGCAAAAAGCATGTGAAGACGGATTGAGACAGGCAACATAGCAGACTAAAGAAATCGGTTTGGATATGTCGTGACACATGGATGGGAGAGAACTGCAAGAGGGTGGGGCGGAAGAAGACGGGCCAGGAGAGGGAGAGAGGGCGAGAGAGAGAGAGAGAACAAAACAAAAGCAGAGAGGCATCCTGCCTGCGGCGGGCAGGAGACCCCGTGGCGCCCCCCGGGGCCTCCTGCCCTCGCAGCCCGCAGGAGCGCGCCCCATGACTCAGGACGAGGCCGACGAGGAGATCCGAGCGAGGCTGGCGCCCCGTCCCGGCGGCCCCCTGGGGCCCATTCTGGGGCGTCGCCTAATGGAGGGGCGCAATACAGGGTGGGGGGTGGGGGGAAGAAAGGTGCACTTTTCGAGCCCTACAACCCTCCGCGAAACTTAACGCGACGCCCAGCCATCTCGATCCGATCGATCCGGTTCGGTATCGATGCCGGCTGGCCCAGTCCGAGTCGATCTCGATATTTCTCGGGTCGTCCAGCAGGGGGGGTGATGACTATAGGTGTTGGGTATACGGTCAGCACTGATCGGAGGTATGAGCGGCGTTCCATGGTTTCCCTTTCATCTTTTCCCTTCGGCCCATCCTTGGCCACTTTCGTTGGCCGCGCCCCGCTCGAGAAGTGTCGGCATGGCCCTCGCATCCTGATTGTCGACTCTTTCTATCAATTTTGACTGTATCGTGGCTGGGACCATGAGGTCTCCTCGGGTTTCATGGCCCCTCTTCTCATTTCGGTACGCCCCCTTGGCTCCCCGTTGGCCGCGCACATGCCTCGGGCAGTGATTTGCGACCCCCCCCTTTGGACGCCCCCCTCCTGGACGCTCCCGAATATCGATTCAGGCCGGCCCGATCCGATCCGATTTGATTTCGATATTTCGACGATCCGATGCGGCCCGATACCTGCATGTCGCTGCTGTGCGGTCTTGGCGCAGGTGGTCCAATTCGATTTCGGTTCCATGCCGACGCATCCCGATCCGATGTACATTTCGATTCGATCCGATGTGCCAATTCAATGCTGACTGATCCTGCTCCCCTTCCGCGCTTTCGCGCGGCTTCTGGCGATTCCACGCGGGTCGCTGGGATATGGCCCACTGCGCAAATGCCGCACGATCTGTTTTGAATGGTGCGTAAGTGTGCGGGATGCTTTTCCCCAAGAGAGTGAAAGGCAGCCCAGGGGGTTCGAGATTGCAGGTTTGATGACCTGTTTGTTGTTCTGCCTCTGGCGTTCTTGATCAGTGTGGCGATCGTTTGCTTTGAAAGAGCGTGTTCAACCGCTGCTGGCGGAAAACCGGGAGGGGTCACTGGGGGTTCCTAACCCGTCCCCCCCCCCCCTCGAAAACCGGGGGGGGGGTCACTACTGGTTCGAACCCCCCACCCACCCCCCCAGTCCATCATGAAAAGGGTGGGGGGCACTACCGGTTCGAACCCCCTCCCCCCTTCCCCCCCCCTCGAAAACCGGGGGGGGGGGTCACTGCCGGTTCGAACCCCCCCGCCCCTTCGAAAACCGGGGGGGGTCACTACCGGTTCGAACCCTCCCCCCCTATCGCCGGCGGCAAACGATGCCCGCTCCTCGGGACAGTTGGAGAATGGTGGGGATGTTGGGACAGTGGTGGGAACGGTGGTGGTGGGGACAGTGGTGCGGGGACAGTGGGACAGTGGTGCGGACAGTGGTGGGTACAAAGTGGGGACAGTGAGACATTGGTGGGGGCACTGGTGGGGACAGCGGGGACAATGGTGGGAACAGTGGGGACAGTGGGACAGTGGTGGGGACGGTGGTGGTGGGGACAGTGGTGTGGGGACAGTGGGAATGTGGTGGAAACAGTGGGACAGTGGAGGGTACAGTGGTGGTTGCGACAGTGGTGAGGGCGGTGGCGAGGACGGTGGTGGGATAATGGGACAGAGGTACAGTGGGGACAGTGGTGGGGACAGTGGTGAGAACAGTGGGACAGCTCAGTGGGACAGCGGCGGGGACAGTGGGACAATTGGAAAGTGGGGACAGTGGGACAGTGGTTTGGGCTGTGGAGAAAGTGGGGAGTGGAACCATGGTGGGAACAGTGGTGGGGACAGTGGGGACAGTGCGACAGTGATGGGGGCACTGGTGAGGACAGTGGTGACGGTGGTGGGAACAGTGGGGACAGTGGTGGTGAGGACAGTGGTGCTGGGGACAGCAGTGGGGGATGTGGTGCGGACGGTGGTAGGGACCCAGAGATGTTTGCTGGCGGTGAGGGGGGGGAGGGGTTCGAACCGGTAGTGACAACCCCCCGGTTTTCGAGGGGGGGGGTTCGAACCGGTAGTGACCCCCCCCTGTTTTCGAGGGGGGGGGTTCGAACCGCTAGTGACCCCCTCGTTTTTTCCGAGGGGGGGGGGCTCGAGCCGGTAGTGACCCCTCTCTAGTTTTCTGGGGGGGGGGGAGGGGTTCGAACCGGTAGTGACCCTTCCCGGTTTTCGAAGGGGGGGGGGTTTTCGAGTAGTGACCCCCCGGTTTTCCGGAGGAGGAGGGGGAGGGGTTAGGGGAGGGGGGGGTTTTGCCGGGGGTAGGGGGGGGGGGGGGTCCAGTAGGAGTGGGTGGGGGGACTTTCGGAGGGAGGGGGGGGGGGGGCCCTCGGGTCCCGGAGGAAGAGGGGGGGGATTTTTTCCAATGTAAAGCGGCGGTGGATCACGCTCTCTCTCTCTCTCTCTTTGCTTTTCGTACCACTTTCCTTCCTCCCATTCCTCGTCCACTTCTCTGTTCCGCTCCTCCCCCCTCCATCTGCAGATGCATTCCCGGAGAACGTTTCATTTTGCCATTGCGCCGTGTGGGCGCCAGGCTCGGTTGATCGACTGCCTCCAGGAGGTCCCACGTCGCCACGGCTGGAGTCCCCTCGAAGTTCTGGCCCAAGCGCACCCCAAGAGAGGTCCGGGTGCCGATCCTTCAGGGCCGCCATGAGGTTGTCTCGCCTGTGCGTCACAGCTGTCCGCATCTCCGCCCCTTGTATCATGCCTACTGTGCGCGCATTCGGAGGCAATTTTAACACATCGCTCTGGCCTCGCTGTGTTCGGAGAAGAAGCAACTGCATAAAACTTTCGACGGTCCTCGGGGATTTCTGAGATCGGCGCTGGGGTCCCCCTGGCGGCGCCTCTGGCGCCGCCCCTTGCGCGGATCCAAGAAATCCGCGCGGACCTCCAACAGTTTATGCTCATGCAGCTGTTTGTTCTCTTCTGCGTGCTGCTGGGATGTGGAACGGAAAGTTGGTCCTGGAGGGAAGGTGTCCCGGATTTCTGCCCGTCCGCCCTCCGGGCTCTCGGGGCCCGTCTCCCCGGCCCCCGGGGCCCGCACAAAGATCGGCTCGGGCGGAGAAGTTCATCCCAGGGGGACCGAGATGCAGGCCATGGGCCACTCTGGGCTCGGGAGGGGCTCGGGCTTCCAGGCCGCTCCTTGGAAGTCCAGGGTGGGGAGCCCGTTCGTGGCCGAGGCTCGCCGTGGCCCAGACGAGCCGCTCCTTGCCATACTCTGCGCTTCCGATGGTCGCACGATGACTGTGCGGTCGAGATGAGTGCGAAGAGAGCGGGGACGGAGACCGACAGCAGTTCTCCTCCGTTCTGAACTGGGCTGGTTGGCGGTGTCGCCGTGGACGTCGCCCACTCGAGACAGACAGTCGCCTGCCCAACAGCGGCCGCTGTCGGTTTGAGCAACGTTTGCTGTTGGGCACCGTGCCAGTTTATGTTACGAACACATGTCGGGCGTGCCAGGGGAAGCCCTGGGGTTCAGAGCCCGGTTCCAGGAGGACGCCGATCTTTCGTGCCAAACGTTGGGAGCTGCCCGCGGATCGTTCTTCCGCGGCTGCTGCTGTTGGGTGCTCCTCCTCCTGTGTTCTCTCGCTCCACGTTCCTTGCTTCCCTCTCTTTGCCCTTGTGCTTGGCATCGTCGTCCGTTTCCTTTTCCTGATCATCGTCGCCCTCCTCCTCTACCTCCTCCTCCTTCTTTGACGTTGATCGGACTTCAAGCACGGGGCTTACAGCTTTCTAAAATTGTGCACAACAAATCGCCGACTTAGGTGAAGTAGCAAGCGAACTATGCCGCGAACGGGTGCAGTAAAAGAAAGGCAATGAGACAGGCACATAATAGTAGCCCATGAGGGCGGGAATAACCCTGTCCGCGGCACCTGGAGAGGAGGAGTAGCCGCATATACGAATGATGATAATATCATAAACAATGGACCCTCATCCTCCTGCTCCTCCATATCTCTCTTCCGCCGATCTTTCCGTCTCAGGGTGGGCCGCGTGCACTGACTGAGCGCCTCCTTTCAGAGTCGGGGCCAGCGTCTTTGGGAGAAGCGCGAGCTCTGCAACACCAAGCTGGAGGCGATCAGGCGGGAGGACCGAGCCGCCTCCTCTGTTCTCTTTCCCCTTGCAGTAGGCACGTCAAGCAAGAAATTGGCTTGCCAGCTGGTGCACCACAGAAATCTAAAGGCTGCCGCCTCTGCCGCCAACCCCAAAGAAGGTTATGGCCTTTTGTTTGCTTTGTGTTTTTGTGTGTTGTTGACAAGCTTCTGCCTCTCCGTCTGCGTGTATCCGATAAGTCGAGCGGGCCTCTATTGGGCCGCCTGGGAGACCTCTTCGGCCGCCTTGGGGCCCACTTGGACTCGTGTGGGGGGGCTTTTTTTCTGAGGCCTCTTGTATTGTTTTGGGGCCATTTGGGGGGCGTCTTGGGCCGTCCTGGAGCGTCGGGAAGCCGAAACAGCATAACCACACACATCAAACAATAACGTAAGGACATACATGTTTTTCAGCATGCTGGGGGCCATTCTTCGGGTCATCTTGGGACCTTTTCACAGTATCATGTTTAGTTGAAACACGGTGTGGATGATGAGGAGGACAGTAGGAGAGAACAGTATACCGATGATGAGGATGAGGATGATGAGGAGGAGGAGGAGGATGTCCTAGGAGGAAGCGAGGGGGAGGAGGAACAGGAGGAGGAAACGCTTCGATGAGAAGGAACAAGAGCAAGAGTTCCGAAGAGGAGGAGGAGGACGAGAAGTTCCGAGGAGGAGGATGACGTCGACGAGGATGTCCGAGGAGGTGGAGAAGAGGAGGAGGAGAAGGAGGAGGAGGAGGAACTCCGGGGAGGAGGGGGAGGATGAGGCGGAAGAGGAGGTCGGAGGAGGACGAGGAGCAGGACGAACTCCGAGGAGGATGCTATTTAGGGAGGGCGAACTCCGAGGAGGAGTTCCACGGAAGACGCACTCCGAGGTGGATGGGGGTCCGAAGAGAAGGAGGAAGAGGAGCAGGGGGGGAGGAGAAGGAGGAGGTGGAAGGAGGAAGAGGAGGACGATGAGTATGAGGATGGGGAGTAGAACCACAAGGAGCACGATGAGGAGCACGATGAGGAGGAGGAGGAGGCGGAGGAGGAGGAGGAGGGGGAGGAGGAGGATCAGGGGGAGGAGGAGGAGGAGGAGGAGGAGGAGGAGGAGAGGAGGGAGGAGGAGGAGGAGGAGGAGGAGGAGGAGGAGGAGGAGGAGGAGGAAGAGGAGGAGGAGGAGGAGGAGGAGGAGGAGGAGGAGGAGGAGGAGGAGAGGAGGAGGAGGAGGAGGGAGAGGAGGAGGAGGAGGAGGAGGAGGAGGAGGAGGAGGAGGAGGAGGAGGAGAAGTAGAAGGAGGAGGAGGAGGAGAAGGACGACGTGGAAAATGACGACGACGACGAGACATGGGGAGACGATCCGCAGTGGCCGAGTGCCACGCCGCAGGCTCAAGTAGCCTTGACCGGCCTCAAGGCTACAGGGGCCGCGGGGGTGCGGGGCGCGGCTATGGAGGTTTTCCGGTTGAACCTCAATCAGCCGCGGGCTTTTCCGGTTGCGCCATAAGCAACCGCGGGCTATTCCAGTTGGGCCATAACCAACCGCGGGTTTTCCGGTTGTGCCACAAACAACCGCGGGAGCACCGGTGTCCATAAGACGGTCCTCCGGAAACGGGGTGGTTCGTGGCGTGTGTCAGCAATGGCACACCCGCGTTCCTGCTTGGACCTTCGGGTCAGCCGGTGTCAGACCGGTCCCCCGAGAGTGGTACGTCGTGGCGGAGTCCTCCGGGGCTCTGCCGCGTCGCTGCATAAATCCACGACCGCATTGTTCTGCTCTGGCGCGGGCCCGAGTTACCAGCTCTCGCAACGATCAGGCTGACAGGGGGGAACTATCGCGATATTGCGGCGACAGACCCTGGTATATCTTTCCGGATCGCCTCACGGTCGAAGGGGGAGTTTTCGCGATTTTTTCCCAGGCGCGTCCCCTGAGCGACAGAAGGGGAATGCAATCGCGATTCTTTCCCCAGACGCGCGCCCAGAATGGACTACCGTTGCGTTGTCGCTGCGCCCGCGGAGGATGCATACAAATGCGATTTGTCCTGAAGGCGCGTGGCTGGGGCAGTGCACGGAGGAAGCGATCGTTGGCTTCCAGCCAGGGTTGCGCGCCGGGAACGTCCCAGATAAGCGCCAGTTTGGCCCTGGTGATGACGCGCGCGCAAGTGAAGCAGACAATGCGCGGCGAGTCTGCAGGACAACCGAGGCGTGGCACGTTGCGCCCGCTGCGAGCGCGAGCCGGAGCGCGCTTGCAACGCGTGCTCGCGCCGCGGCGCCAGTGGCGAGTTCGACGGGCACTGGGCGGCAGATGAAGCGATGGCGTCTGCGACGTTGAAACTACAGCGCGACACGCGGCGACGGGAGGGAAAAGGGAAGGGCGCGGTGGAGGGGGGGCGGGAGGAGGAGGAGAACGAAGGGAAGGAGGCGAAGACCATATTCTCTGCGGACGCAGCTTGGCAGAAGGACCAAGTGACGACGTCGCTGACGCGTCGTTTTTTTCGACGCGTGGCGCGCTGCTTGTTTTATCGTACTCGGGCGCGCGTCGAACCCGCGCGGGCTGCGACTGCTCGCGCTGTGGGTTTCGAATCGGCGAGCGCGTCGCGTTGGCAGCGGTCGCGCTGGCAATGTGCGACGTTCACCTGGCCTCAGCGTCAACCGGGCGTCGCGCCGCGCACGCTGGGGGAAGGGCGAACGGCGCGAAGACATGCCAACATGCGAGAGCAAAATCTGCGCCCGCGTCGAATCGGTGGGTCGTGGACTGTTGCAGGAAGTTGCTGCTTGGTCGATGCGCGCGCCCTGCGCTCCGAAAACTTCCATGGCCACCTCGGTGCGCGACGAAGCAACCGTGGGGCCATGGGGAAGCAAGCGTTTGCAAGTGGCCGTAGCGCGTATGCAGCGCGGTCGCCCACGCCGAGACGCTCTGCGCATCGTCGAGCGCGAATGTCCCATCCATGTGTGGTCGGGAGAAGGCGACGTGGACATAGTGCCCAAGCAGAATGTGGACGCAGTCCAACGGTGGGCATGCGATCGGAAGTCGTTTGCTTGGATGTACGAAGCAGAGAGTGCCGGGGACCTCATGGGAGAACGAGCGCTTATGAGGTGGCGTTTGGGTCACTAATGGCCAGTGCTCTGGGTCTGCCGCGTCGCTGTCCGCGGGCCGCGTCGTTCGGATCACGCGCAGGCGCGAGGTGTTGCGCGGGGGAAAGGGAGATGTGGCGCAGGCCCCCTGGCGACGCGTCGCAGCTGGCGCCGGTCGCGAGAGCAGAGGCGCATCATCATCGGCAATCGCCCTTGCGGACGCGCTCCCGCGGGCGCAGGGGGCGCCAGAACCTCTCGCTGACCTCGCAGGTCGAGCGCGCGCCTCCGAGGCGGCTGAATCGTAGCGCGCTGCCGCCATGACTCGAGGGGTTGGCCGTGTGGGCGGGCTGGCCTCGACGATTGATCCCGCCCAACGACGCTCGAAGCACGACGGTCGCGATGTTTTGGCGCCGCCAGGGCGTCGGGCGTCGGGGCCATTCTCCACGGGCCTCGTGCGCTTGCCCAGGCAGACGCCGCGGCGCGTCGCAGCCATGCAGACAGGATTGCGTTTGCGAGCCATGCCGCCGCTGCAGTGACGTCTCAGCTAAACTGGGCGCGAGGGTCGTCGGCGCGCGTGTCAAGCGCGCGGCGGCGACGCGTCGCATCTTTGAGCCATCGGCCAGCAACGAACTTGGGGCGCGTGGAAAGCGTCGAATTTGGCGGAGGCGGCGATTGTTTGCAATTCAGCATCGCAGGAATTCTCGCGCGCATAGTTCTCCAAGGTGGAGAACCGGCGCAGCGCGCCCTCCGGGAAATCCCCAGGGGCATCTTCGAAGAAGGGAAAAACAGCCGTCATGCTTGCTCTCAGTATCTTAGACGCGAAGCTGCGCAGGTGTTTCACACGCGGCACGTCCTGGACGTGCTAAACCTTACGTTGAATGCGTGCACGCAGAAGGGCCGCGGTGCCCATCTAGGAAAGAGCGCGTTCTGTGGTCTCTTGGAGGGGGGGGGTGAAACCGGGCCCCCCCCCCAAGACTCGGCGCCGTCGATCAAAACCAGGGGGGCCCCCCCTCCCCCCCGAACTCCCCCCCCGAACCTCGCCCCCCTCGGCGCCGGCGCCGGCGCTGGCGGCCGCCAGCAGCGCCCGCGGCGGGGACGCAGCGACGATGACCAGAGGCAGCCCATGGAGGATGACCGGGGTTGAAACCCCCCCCTCCCCCCCCCGGCACCGGGAGGGGGGGGGCCCCCCTCCTCGCGCCGGCGCTGCCGGCGACCAGCAGCGCCAGCGCCGGCGCCGGCGCCGGCGGGGCGCAGCGACGCTTGCCACCACTACCACCGCCACCGCCGCCTTAACCCACCACCGCCACCACCGCCACCAGCACCACAACTCACCATCACCACCACCACAGAAACCCACCACAACTACCGCCACCACCAATCTACCACACCACCACCACCACCACCGCCACAGAAACCCATCACCACTACCAGCAGCACAGCCCACCGCCACCACCAAACCACCACCGCCACCACCACCACCACCACCGCCACCACCACCACCACACCAAACGTCCACAAACCACCGCCACCACCACAACCCACCACCACCACCACAAACCACCACCACACCACCACCACACCACCAACCACCACCACCACAATTCACCATCACCACCACCAAGAACCCACCACCATTACCACCAGTCTACCACAACGCCACCACCACCGCCACAATCACCCCCACTACCACTAGCATAACCCACCACCACAACCAAACCACCACACCACCGCCACCACCACCACCACCGCCACCACCACCCACCACCACCACCACCACCACCTCAACAAACCACCGCCACAACCACAACCCACCACCACCACAACAAACCACCACCACACCACCACCACCACCACCACCACCACCACCACCAAAACCACCACCACACCACCAAACCAGCACCACCACCACCACCTCCCACCGCCACAACCACCACCACCACACCACCGCCACC